TGTTTGCGGAAGAAGGAACTGTTCGGATCTGGACGGTGACAACTTCCGGTCGGAGGAGCTCTACCCCATAAGGCCGCACGGGGGCGCGATTCAGCCAAAACAACATATTAACTACAGCAGGGGTGTCAAACTCATTTTAGCTCAGGGGCCACATTGAAGGAAATCTAGTCCCAAGTGGGCCGGACCGGTAAATAAAAAAAAACTTCAGATTGTTTTCTTTGTTTTAATACAATCAATATGAAACAAGGCTGGAGCTTGAGGACAGTGCAGTGCAACACCTGAAGTGTACTTGAAAATTTGAAGATGAAAAAAAATCAATACATAAGAAAAAATTCCTTAGTGATTCAAAGAGCTTACAGATTACATGGCAAGATCAGTTCCATGCAGCATTTAAAGTATATTTGACTCATTTTACTTTACATCTTTTAGCTTTCACCAGCACATCAATATCAGGAGTCACATCCTGAGTGGCGGCCAACTTCAGGATGTGATTGAAGTTCTTGTGTGAGCCTTGAGCGCAGCTTTGTTTTATTTATACTCGTTACAGATAAAACTTGCTCACAAAGATAAGTTTATTTTCACTCTACATTGTAAAGAATGAAAATAAAGTTTTCACAACCATCTCGCGGGCCGGACTTAACCCGCTTGCGGGCCGCATATTTGACACCCCTGAACTACAGCGACAGAAACATGAAAAAGATTTAGTGTCAAAACAAAGAAATTATTTAAATGTTTTAAAAAGATAAACAAAACTCAGATACCATGGTTGTGCCTTTTAGTATTAGTATTTTTTTTTTCAGTTTTGTGCATTTTATGTGCTTACTTTGTACTTAGTACTTGTACTTCTCCTTCTCTGAGGCTATCTCCAAGTTTTGGTCCTCCACTACCTCCTCCCTCACCCATGGTGTCCCACAAGGATCTGTGCTGAGACTGTTCCATATCTGCTTCCTCTTCAGCACATCCTGAGCTCCTTCAAAGGAATCTCCTACCATCTTTATGCAGATGACATCCAACTGTACATCTCCTTTAAGCCCCATGAGATGTCTAAGCTGCAGCTGTTACACACCTGCTTAGACTCTATCAAAACCTGGATGGTGGGAGCTTTCTTCAGCTGAATGAAGATAAGACTGAGATCCTCATCTGTGCCCCAGACAAGCTGGTTCCCAAAGTCAGAGACTCTCTTGGTCAGCTTGCTTCCCACACCAATACATTCTGTATTTGTTAGATTATATTCTTACTTCCTATTTTTACCTATCTCTTGCTGTTATCTTTCTTTTTGCACCAAGTACTGCAGCAATTTCCTACTGTGATCATCATCATCATCATCATCTTTATTTACAGAGCCCCTTACAGGCATGAGGCATGCCACTATAGTGCTGCAGTAAGTGCTAACAGTAATTAAAACTGATCAAATCACCAAAGACAAGTAAAACCAAAAACAGAGTGAAATCATGTAAAAGATCAACATCAAAGCCAGTGATTTCTTGCACATTTGGATATAAAACCCTTCTGATTCTGATTCTCACACCAAACCCTCTGTCAGGAATCTTGGCGTGACCTTTGACCCAGCTCTCACCCTGGATTCTCATGTCAGTTCTCTTGTTCCTTCTTCCATCTCAGGAACGTTGCTAAGCTGAGTCCCATTCTGTCCCGCTCTGAACTTGAGACAGTTCTCCACACCTTCATCTCCTCACGCTTAGACTACTGTAACTCTCTTTTCACGTGTCTGAGCAGAACCTCCCTGAACCGTCTACAGGTGGTTCAGAACGCCTGTGCTCGGCTTCTGACCAAGTCCTCCAAACACACCCACATCACCCCGCTTCTCCTCCAGCTTCACTGGCTGCCAGTCAACTTCAGGGTTCATTTCAAGATCCTGGTTCTGGTCTACAGGGCCTTACATGGACAAGCACCATCTTACATTGGTGATCTTCTTAGTCCCTACACCCCCAGCAGGTCCCTGAGGTCCAGTGACCACAGCCTACTGGTTGTGCAGCACCAGGCTAAAGACCAAAGGTGACAGATCATCTGCTGCTGTGGCCCCCAGACTCTGGACCTCTCTCCCCCTGAGCCTGAGATCAGTGGACTCAGTGGTCTCCTTTAAACTCACCTGTTCAGACCTTGGTGGGACCTTCATCACCACCCTCTCCATATTCTGTTCTTATTCCGCCTGTCCCAGAGATCCACTGATTTCCCTCTTTCCTATTAATTTTCTCTCTCCCTTTTCTTATATTTTTAAATCACTTTTTTTTTATCTTAACCACATTTTTTAATTATAAAAAAAACAATATTTTTTATATTTTGATTTATTTGTTTTTGTGAAGCGCCTCGTGATTTTTATCTTGAGAGGTGTTTTATAAAAGACCGTTTTCTTTCTATCTTTAGTTTTAACCAACACATTCTTCATATATTCAACAATTCAGTTAACACATTAGCACCAAAAGTTATAAGGGCGTGATATTATTTCCACTCACTAACTACAGAATTCGACAGTCGTTAGTTAATGAGTTTCTGTTTGTGGCTGTCAAACCACAGAATTTGCATAAACAATTTCATGGTTGAAGATATTTTATTTGGCATCACACTAAAAGATAAAAATATTGAATTTATAATAAATAATCCTATGATCATCACTAAATTCTTTATACACAAAACTCCACCTGCCTGGAATAACCTTAAAAATGAGATGAAACTGCTATTAAATAGATAATAATGTCCGCAGGTAATGCCATAAAGCTACACAACTTCATTAAACAAACAAATTTATAACCCTCTTGTAGATGATTTAATAATATGGCAGAATGCCTTGCTTTATTACTAACTATCTCATCGTGACTAACTCCCAGTTATATACGTATATTCTTAGTCTTTCAGGTTATCTTACTGATATCCCCTTATTCTTTTATTTTCTGTTCATACTTCACTGTTTTTAATTTCCGAATTGATAAGTGACTACCAAACCCAGGATTTCAACAAAAAAACATGGATTTTGGAGCTACTTTATAACATATTTTCGCACATTTTGAATTGTAGTCGTTGTATCTAAAAATGTTCAATAAAGTTATTAATGGAAAAAAAACTTGTGGTTGTCAGACCTCGCGAGTATTTTTCAACCAATCACATTCCTTCTTAAACGACGCTCAGCCAATGAGGCTTCAGTTGCTAGGGAGGGAAAATTGCTCTGTTCGCGCGCCGACAGTGAGGAAGGCATCATGGAGGTGGACATGGCGGAGGCACCAGGGGATCCCAAACCGTGTGAAAGTGGAGCGAAGGCGGACAGCGAGGCCGGGGAACCCTCGTCTAAGGCTGCCGGTGGCTCCTACGAGCTGCCCTGGGTGGAGAAATACCGACCGATGAAGCTGGATGAGATCGTGGGGAACGAGGAGACCGTGAGCCGGCTGGAGGTGTTCGCCCGGGAGGGAAACGTACCCAACGTCATCATCTCAGGTCGGTGAAGAAGTAAAAGTTCCGATAAGTTCTGCAGACAGAACTGAGCCGGAAGCTGGTCCGGTTCGGAAGAACTTGTTCAGTAAAAGTCAACAACTAACCCGAGTCATCCAAAGTCTCATCTAGTTGCGGCTAAAACAGCGACTTCACCAGGACCGAAATCACATTTGTTTAATCAACTTTAGAAGGATAGCAGAGATTATTTGTAGAGGAATCAGTTAGACAGACATAATCTGCCCCAAAACACCAGATTAAGCAATAAAACCTCCTGTATGTTTCTCTTTTACCAACCAGAGGATTGTAGTAAAAGAGAAGTGATGAAAATGATTCTTAGACCTCACCTGTTGTCATCCTGACTGCTCCTCCTGCTGTGGTCCAGGCCCTCCCGGAACAGGAAAGACCACCAGCATCCTGTGCTTGGCGCGAGCTCTGCTGGGTGCTTCCATGAAAGATGCTGTTCTGGAGCTGAACGCTTCAAACGACAGGTGAGTCTGAGCTGCTGGGTCAGGGCAGATCCGGTTCTGGTGAGTGGAACCTGGTCCTTGATGCTGGGCGTTCCGTCTGCAGGGGGATCGATGTGGTGAGGAACAAGATCAAGATGTTTGCTCAGCAGAAGGTCACACTGCCCAAAGGCCGACACAAGATCATCATCCTGGACGAGGCGGACAGGTGAGAAACGCTGAGATCAGCCAGAGCTGTCTGGGGTTCTGATGGGATTCTACCAGCGATGACCCATGAAGACGTCAGAGCTGACGGTCTGTTTGGGTTCTGCCTCTGAGGTTCAGGAACTGGATCTAAGAGCTGCTGTGGTGGGTTTGTGGTTCCAGCATGACCGACGGAGCTCAGCAGGCTTTAAGGAGGATCATGGAGATCTACTCCAGGACAACGCGCTTCGCTCTGGCGTGCAATGCCTCCGATAAGATCATCGAGCCGATCCAGTCCCGCTGTGCCATGCTGCGTTACTCCAAGCTGACCGACGGGCAGATCCTGGCCCGGCTGCAGGAGGTGGTGGAGAAGGAGCATTTGGCTGTGTCTGATGATGGGCTGGAGGCCGTCATCTTCACCGCGCAGGGAGATATGAGACAGGTGAGGGGGTGGAGCCAGGAGTCCCGGCCGCAGGTCAAAGGTGGGGCTTTCTGATGGTCATGGTTCTGATTCCAGGCATTAAACAACCTGCAGTCCACCAACTCCGGCTTTGGCTACATCAACAGCGAGAACGTGTTTAAGGTGTGTGACGAGCCCCACCCCCTGCTGGTGAAAGGCATGCTGGGACACTGCGTGGATGGGAACATCGATGAGGCCTACAAGGTGGTGGAGCAGCTGTGGGCGCTGGGTTACTCCCCAGAGGACATCATCGGAAACATCTTCAGGGTCTGTAAGACTTACCAGATGGCCGAGTACCTGAAGCTGGAGTTCATCAAGGTGAGTGGACCGCTCCAGAGCAGCAGGTAAACGTCCCTCTGGTGGTCGTAAACGTAAATGTCGTTCTTTGTGTCGATGGTGATTCGATATAAATTAAACGCTCAACTCCTCATAAAAAACCCAAAAGTCAGACGTTCTCCTGGTCTGTGAACGCCCCACGGCTAGGCCGACCCACACCAGAGGTCTTCTGGGTGCTGCTTTGTTCCGGATGAATCCAGAACTGTTCTGTTTGAATCAGATATTTATTTATTTGATGTTCTTGAGTCTTTTACTTTAAACTCAACGTCCTCTCAGCTTGGTTCTGGTTCTGGCTGCAGGAGATCGGGTTCACTCACATGCGGGTGGCGGAAGGCGTGAACTCCCTGTTGCAGATGGCCGGTCTGCTGGGACGTCTCTGCAGCAAGACGGCGCCCCCTGCTGCCAGCTGAGGTCCTCCAACCTGATTGGTGATTATGGAATTCTGCTGCTGCTCCAGGTTCTGATCCGGATGGGATTGGACCAGCTGCTCCACCCGCAGGTCCTCAGAGTTCTCTACTGCTTCCGGACACTGAGTCCTGATCTAGAACCTTAGCAGAACCGTTCGGATCTTAAAGACAAGTTCCTATAAATAAGAAATGCAGCATGCAGCTGATCCGGAGTCAGTTTCTGGACTCGTTTATTTCTGCTCTTTGTTTCCTACATGAACCATTTCAGTGATTATAGATGTTCTGACCCGGATCAGAACTCCTGTCCCTCTGTGACCCACCACCCCGGTTCTGGACCAGAACCTCCAGATGCCTTAAGGATGTTTTCTTTGGACATTAACTGGTTTGTTTATTTTTTCCAATAAAAACTCGGATGTTCTGCGCTGATCTGTTTAAAAGCTCTGAAGGTAAAAACCCGGTTGAACCTGTCGAGTGTTCGGTAATCATCCAGACCGACAGCTGCTCGTTAATCAGTTTTATTTCATTACAAACTGTTTACACTAAATAAAAACATGGAGGAAAGTCACGGAGCTTCAGAGGAACACGGCGGTCCTGTTGGGTTGGGGCTGCGTTCTGGGTGTAACCCCGACCCGGGCTGATGTGAGCGTGACCTCTAACCTCCAGGTCCGTGTGTTTGTAGACAAAAGCAGGATTACAGCAGAACATCAGTGACTCACCGGACTGAAACCACAGCACGTCTACATGCCACAGCGCTACAAACAGCATGCTAACGGGCGGCACCGCGTCCGCGCGGGTTCAGGAAGAGCAAACGGGTCGAAGATCCTCCGTCTCAAAACTAGACGGTCGTGCAGGAAGAGCTTCTGTAGCCCCGGAATAACGGGAATGAAATGTAAAACCAGGAAAACGAGGTCACTGATCTGTTTGGGTCAGCAGCTGGTTCTGGAACTAAACCGGGTTTTAGGCGGCGGCGTTTGAGCCGGGTCCACGGCTCAGCTGAAACGTTAACCTGCGCTCATCCCAGAGTTCATCTGATACCGACCGAGTCAGAATATTAAACATGGATCAGAACCGCAGCGAAGGAAAAGTAAAAGCGTCAGAACAACAACACAACCGTATAAATATAAACCCACGGAGCCGAGGCTAGAGCGTTGCCGTGGCAACACCTGGGCTCCGTGGAGGCGAGGGTAAAAGTAGAAACCAAGAACAGAACCAGATCACTGCGATCACCAGAACGTTTAGGACACCGTGCTGCGTTTGAGTTCTTCAGGAAGAACGATGGCTGAGATGGTTCGGACCCAAACAGCTTGTGAGGGAGGGGTGGAGAACCTGCATTGTTGAGCCAGCTAGCAGAACCAGAGGGTTCTACGCCGTCATCTGGATGGTGGGTGCTGCTGGAGGCTGGGGGCTGGTGCAGGCGGCCCCCTCTGGAAGCGGGTTGGTGGCGCCGCGGTTACGGACGCCCTCTGTGGACCCGACACTGGAGGCTGAGTGGGTCCTGGAGCGGACCAGCCGGGTCATTCCGGCTGTGGGCACTGCGGAGCAACAGGACACGGATCAACGGGCTGATGGAGGTGGTTCTGACCAGCAAACATCACACAGAAAACCCAAACAGCTTCAGAACCACAGGAACGTTTCTGTTTTCCCTCCCAGCAGCTGGACTTCCTGTGACCCGCTTAACTGGTTCTGGATCCGTTTTCTCTGGTACCTGAAAACAGTTGATGCAGACCCATCAAACGGACCACAGGAACTCTCAAACTCCTGAACCTTCTGAACTCGGTAACCATGGAAACAGACAAAACCTTACAACACCGACCAGAACCACTCGTGTCATTACGGTTTGGACTAGAGGGACTGGATGGACAGAAAGACTTGTCCCGGACAGATTCAGCGTCTTTGATCAGTCGAGCCAGAACCTTTTTTGGGTCTGTGGTTCCTGATGGTTCTAGCGTTCGTGCTGATGCGGGTCATGAGTTTGGTGCTACAGCTGGTGGGACCAGTGAGAACAAAGATGGAGGAGGGACACAGACTCAGATCCTGATACCTGATTGGCTGCTCACATGGTTTAAGACAACATGAGGGACTGGAGAGGAAACAGGATGAGAAACAAACAGGAAGTTGTTAAATCACACAACAACAAGCTTCCTGGGGGTTTTCCTGCAGCGAGCTCCGAACATCGGGGCTTTCCTGATAAATCCATTTGGCAAATCGCACCTGTTCACTCAAGGACTCAACGTCAACACTAACGATGCGTAAGCAAAGCGAGGAGCGGGAAGCGAGGCTCACGCACGTCTGCAGGCAGACCCCGTTAATCGATGCCAGATAAATGAGAACGGAAGCGCCTCGTTCTTCTCCCAGCTACGAGGACTACGCAGATGCCGTAACTAGAGCAGCTGCTTGGTTAAAGCTGCGTGGCTGGAGCCATGTAGTGAGAATGCTCAGCCTTTACGTGTTTCCATGGCAACGCCAGAAGTCCGCCTCGGCTCTTGTTTTTGAAGTTTTCATCATTTATGTGTCGTTTCCATGTTCTGCTCCAGAGTGTGGATGTGTTTCTGCTGAGCAGCTGGGTCACGTGACCCTGAAGGCCACGCGGTAAACTGTTTGTCACAAATAATCAGCTCTCGTATTACACACCAAGGAACAAACATTACCGTGTTTGCCACGTGTGACCAGAGCTGTTAACATTTATAGTCACATGCATGAATAAAGTATCTCCTCTTACATGTATTACGGTAGCAGCTGTACGCTAGTTTAAGGCTACTTTAACAAAAAGAGGCAGCGTGTTAATGATACGGGCCCGTCCCAGACTAAAGCTGATATAATTATACTTATATATACTTATACTTATATTTAAGATGAAAATCCAGTTAGAGCTCATGTTTACACGTTTAAACTCCTCATTTATTTATCATTTAGCCATGAAGAACAAAGCTGCGGCTGCTGCTACCGGTGGCGCTAATTCACCACCTCGTAGCTGCCAGCCCCCCACAAGAAAAAGGTGATTCACTTGCCTCGTCCAATCATATTCACAAAGCGTCAGTGAGCCTAGCCGCTAGCCTGAGCGGGTTTGTTCTCCAGCATGTGTTACCATGGTGACTGGGCGGGGCTACAGGGATTTGAGACGTTAAACCGGGATTTTGGGATTAGCTCGCTGGATGGTATACCCCCAGGTGTGGAGAACGTCACGTTGATACTTACAGGTAAACAACAACAGCTAGTGAGGAATGACGACAAACAAACAAACAAACTATAAAAACAACAACTGTAAACTATTACTCTGGTTTTATTACAGAACACCTTCTGTCTGAGCACCAGAACCTCGCGTCTGCTCTGGTCCTGTTGGACCTCAGAGCTGCAGCATCACAACATTCTCTTAGAAAGGCAACTGAACAAAAACTAAGTCACTACGGTCACTCTGTTCTGGGTTTTCTCCTGAAAGACTAGTTAGAACAACAGCTGGTTAGCTGACGTGAACTTTGACCCTTTTCTCTGGCTCCTGATGCCAGAACAGACGAAAAGCCTCTGAAAACGGCTGCAGAGTGGAACATGGTGGCGTCTCTAACCCAGCTCTGTCTGTAAACGTGTTCTGGTGTTTGGTCTCTACTCACTGTAGCCCATCCCCTGGACAAAGTACTTGAAGGCTTCTGCTAGTTTTCCAGGCTGAAGGAAAAAAACACCTCTTTAAGAATCCAAACGTACGTATTTTTTATATTTATTCATTTTTAACCATTAATTTCATTTAATGACATGTCAGACTCACCTGAACCACCTGAGGAAGTCCTCCACAGTCGGCCATCTAGTGGAAACACACAGAACCACATGTACAGGTCCGTCAACAGTTCCGAGACTTTCCTTTACCGTAGAAAACATCTTTTATGACACCTTTTCTTACCCTACACCTTAGAAAAGACATCAGTTTAATCTTTAAATCAAAACACAAAAACATTTCTCCAGAGGACGAATCGTAGCATTCTTAAAGATCACCTGGAGGAGGAAGTAGCTTCAGACGACAAGATTAAGAGTCTTACTTCCTGATATCTGGACATCTCTCCTCTGATTGGCTGACAGCAACACGACTCTACCACCGACTCTGGTTGCTCTGCAGCGTTGATGTTTTGTCCCCACAAATAACACAAGTCTGTGGGAGTTCTGCTGTGTGGTGGATTTGCTAACGCTAATGGTTAGCTTCGGCTAGTAGAGACGTTCTCTGCCATTTCCTGGACGCTAAACCAACAACAGCCTTCCCCGTCGGGAGTCAGGATGGGTGAGTCCATGAATGTTAGTGACAGGGTGACGTAGATCTGTCAGGATTTTCTAATCCTAGAGTTTCACATCAGAAGCTAAAGCAGGAGGTAGGTGTAGGAGACTATTTATGTTCAGCCTGCATGAAACCTTCATAGTGACCCGTTAGAGTCAGAGATAATCATTAAAACATGGTTTGTCAGCGTTTCACACCTTTAATGAGGTTTTAGTTAAACAGCAACACTGATGAGGGCAGCAGCTCAGGAGGTGGGGCGGGTTCTCCAGTAACCAGAGGGTTGTAGGTTCGAGCCCGGTTCCTAGCACAGATTGCTGCTGTTGTGTCCTTGGTCCTGGTCAGTGTAAAGCACTCTGGAGTCCTGACTCTGAACGGCGCTGCACGAGTCCGTTATCAGGTAGTAAAAATAAAAGCAGATCCAGAGCTCACCGTGTTTCTGTGTTTAAGGTCGTCTCTAACAGCTGATCGATGTCTTTGTCCCCTCAGGAGACATGTTGGACACCAGACTGATTCAGCTGCTGTTCCATAATGAATGTATTTAATCAGTCACCTGAGCAGGTTCTGCAGAACCAGTGACCCAAACCCCCAGCTCCTCAACAAGGATGTTTTCATCCCCATCCCCATCTCCGAGTTAAAGATTCTGCTGTGGGAGTAATGTTGGACCTGCGTTAACCTCAGAGACAGGTGAGAGAACCGAGGACACGTGTAGAGGACAGGTCAGAGACCCGAGGACAGGTGAGAGACCCGAGGACACGTGTAGAGGACAGGTGAGAGACCCGAGGACACGTGTAGAGGACAGGTGAGAGACCTGAGGACAGGTCAGAGACCCGAGGACAGGTGAGAGACCCGAGGACACGTGTAGAGGACAGGTGAGAGACCCGAGGACACGTGTAGAGGACAGGTGAGAGACCTGAGGACAGGTCAGAGACCCGAGGACAGGTGAGAGACCCGAGGACACGTGTAGAGGACAGGTGAGAGACCCGAGGACAGGTGAGAGACCCGAGGACACGTGTAGAGGACAGGTGAGAGACCCGAGGACAGGTGAGAGACCCGAGGACACGTGTAGAGGACAGGTGAGAGACCCGAGGACACGTGCAGAGGACAGGTGAGAGACCCGAGGACACGTGTAGAGGACAGGTGAGAGACCTGAGGACAGGTGAGAGACCCAAGGACAGGTGTAGAGGACAGGTGAGAGACCCGAGGACAGGTGTAGAGGACAGGTGAGAGACCCGAGGACACGTGTAGAGGACAGGTGAGAGACCCAAGGACAGGTGTAGAGGACAGGTGAGAGACCCAAGGACAGGTGTAGAGGACAGGTGAGAGACCCAAGGACAGGTGTAGAGGACAGGTGAGAGACCCAAGGACAGGTGTAGAGGACAGGTGAGAGACCCAAGGACAGGTGTAGAGGACAGGTGAGAGACCCGAGGACAGGTGTAGAGGACAGGTGAGAGACCCAAGGACAGGTGTAGAGGACAGGTGAGAGACCCGAGGACAGGTGTAGAGGACAGGTGAGAGACCCGAGGACAGGTGTAGAGGACAGGTGAGAGACCCGAGGACAGGTGTAGAGGACAGGTGAGAGACCCAAGGACAGGTGTAGAGGACAGGTGAGAGACCCGAGGACAGGTGTAGAGGACAGGTGAGAGACCCGAGGACAGGTGTAGAGGACAGGTGAGAGACCCAAGGACACGTGTAGAGGACAGGTGAGAGACCTGAGGACAGGTGAGAGACCCGAGGACAGGTGTAGAGGACAGGTGAGAGACCCGAGGACAGGTGAGGAGTACCTTGAGCAGGGTGGTCTTGGTAGGATCCAGTCTGGAGTTGCACTCCACCTGTGGGTCAGAAAACACGACATGTGGGTCGATATCTTTCAGAAGCAAACCTAGTCCATAGGGCCCGGTTCTGCTGGATTATCAGAACCACTGATTAATGACCAAACACTGACCAGGACCACCATGAAGCTGTGCATGGGCCAGAGAGGCTGTTAAAGCTCAGACATGAGCGAGGCGGGCCTTCAGCCTCGGTGTCGGGTCAGAGTCAGGCAGACTGGGAGTACACGGGCCCGTGCTTCTACAGCGCAGGCTGGATGTGGACACCCTGGGACAGGAAGTGCCTTTTGGGGTGTCCGTGTCTCCAGAGACATATCAGCGAACTCTGACAGGGCTGGAGGGGTGGGGCCCTCTGCAGATGATACTCTAGTAGTGGGGTGTGGGGACACAGGTTCTGGTTCTGACCCTGATCGGGTCTCTGGGTCGTGATGTGGTTCCACGTCCGTCTGACCCAAACCAGTAAACCAGGTCCAACCCTGGAGCTTTAAAACAGAACCCTGCTGATCTATCCCCAGAACTCAGAACCGACACTTACCACAGCATCGACTGCCGGGGACGTGTCTCCAACAACGAGCAGAGCGGGACACCTGAGAGACGGAGACGGTCAGAGCAGAATGAGAGACGGGGACGCAAGCGTCGGACATGAAAGAGGGTACCTGAGGGTGTGGACGGTGTTCTCGTTCAGACCCAGGACAGGGCGCTCCATCTGCAGCTCGGTCCGGCTAACACACACACACACACACGCACACACACACGCACACACACACACACGTTAATCCTGTCCATGAGCCCGTAAGCACCGCCCCTCCACCTGCGGTCTCACCTGTCGTAGCTGTTGTAGAACATGGCCAGGTTCTCCTGCGGAATGTCCTGGGAGATGTGGAGTCTGTAGGTCTGAATGATCTCCTTGTTCTCCGTTAACTCATCCTGTTGTCACACACACACATGCACACACACACACGCACGCACACACACACACACACACACACACATGCACACACACACACACACATGCACACACACACACACACATGCACGCACACACACACACACACACACACATGCACACACACACACACACACACACACACACACACACACACACACACACACACACACACAGTTTCAGTGGATTTGACGTTCTTATTGAGGATGAGTGTGTCGGCTGTCCTCACGGTGCTGAAGTGGTGTGCCATGATGATGTCCACCAGGTTGCTCGTCCAGCCGCTCAGCTGCAGAGACAGAACCCAACAGAACCTTAAAACCAGCTGACTCACAACCCTGATCCTGAAGTCAGTCAGTTTTTATAGAACACCACAAAGACGTGTGTGTGTGTGTGTGTTTTACCTTGGAGGCGGCCCAGTCCACCCAACCTTTGGCACACGGGTCGATGTTGATCAGAACCAAACCTTCCACCAGACTGGGCTGGGTGAGCTGAAACATCATCATCATCATCATCAGGACCTGGGCCCTTACTCATCAACCGTACGTACACACACACACACACACCTGTGCGTTGGAGCGATCGTACACACTGTGTGGTATTCACCATCTTGTGTAGGAACGTCAGCTCTGACCCCGCGTACGAACCCAGAACCCGTAACGGTGTCGGTGGAGCAGCGGCTACATCACATCGCTGCTGTTAGAACCTGCAGCTGACAGGATGACGCTGTAGCGCGGCAGATCTGGCGTTATTGGAGGATTTGGCAGAGCGAGAACTCAGACCGCCGCGAGCGCTCTGATCTGATTGGTGAGAATCCAGAGTGGTTCCTGAGCAGATACTGCTTCCTGAAGGAGATCCTCCTGGAGCTCTGCGGGGATTTGGGACCCTTTGTGGAACAACAGTCAAACCGCACCGATCCGAGTCCAGCCCAGATTTAGTTACACCCAAGAACCTCCTCCACACACAGGCGTTGCCAAGGTAACCAAACTGACTGAGGAGGCTTTAACAAACATTTCTAAATAAACAAACTAGCTCCAAACAGAACAGGCATTTTGCCTGTTATTCTATGTTTTCCCATTCAGGTTCATGTGGAACCTTCTTTTAGTTCTGAGAGGAACCTCTCCGCTGTCGCGACCGCGTTTAACACCTGCCTCCACAGCCAGCGCCTCGAGCTGTCAACAGTTTTTGTTTTCAGGAATTCTGACGATGTAATGTGACTAAATATGGTTAGTTAATTCTGTAGGTAAATGACTGAGAAGGAACACGAACACCTGGGTAGCACAGGTGGGACGAACACGGACGACTGCGGAGGAACGTGCGTGCAGGAGGCCACCGCATGGATCATGAACCAGGATTTGGACCGTTTCTACGAACATTCTAAATTTCATTCGTGGGAAGGAATTTAGGTCAGTTTCTACAAACGTTTGATAGATGAGAGCCCCGGTCTCCATGGAAACCAGCCAGGTGGATGTTGGGTTTACTTACAGCTAGTTTAGTCAGGATGCAGGCTCCAGCTCCAACACCAATACCGATCACACTCTTCACCCTGACAGAGGCGCACACACACACACACACACACACACACACACACACACACACACACACACACACACACACACACACACACACACACACACACACACACACACACACACACACACACACACACACACACACACACACACACACACACACACACACACACACACACACACACACACACACACACACACACACGTGGATTCACAAGCACTGAATTACCCATCATGCACTTCAGAGGGGAGCAGACTTACTGCAGCTGCGTGAGGACGGACGGCAGCATCTCAGCCAGTTCATCCATGTTGGGATACTGGTACCTGCAGGGAGATAAATCACTAATGAGACCTGTCGGAGACTGACCTTTGAATTATTTGGAAAAAGAATCGGAACACGGTGTCAAGATTACAGGACCGGTTTTGTACTTTATTTAACAAGTTTTACACATGAAATGGTTTTATTTTGATTTATTTTATCTGGTTTGTAACAAATATAAAAAGAAGAAAAGAATATGTGGCGATATAGATTTCAGACTGCAACCTTCCTAGTGTGTGTGTGTGTGTGTGTGTGTGTGTGTGTACCCGGTGGGGAACACAGCAGCGTTCTCCTGCTGACCAGGAGCATCCACATGCAGCACAGAGAAGTGCTGAGTCACTTCCTGCATGTCCTCGTAGTTAAACAAGCTGTTGAAACACGATTTATCTACAAACACAAACAAACCCACGCTCAGTTTCTCTCCTTCGTGTTTTCATCCACAGTGATTCATGTTTCTGTGTTTGTTTACGAACGGTTGAGTCCGATGTCATGGAAGGTGAGGATTGTGGGTCGGTTGCCCCTAGCAACGCCCCTCATGGTTACATGCAGCACGCCGTGGGACGTCTCCACGTCGTGTTCCTGGAAAACAGTAAAACACCAAATCAACATCCTGCTGTCAGAGCGACAACAGGAGCCTGCAGGGAGAACAGCGGCAACACACACACACACACACACACGAACATGCAAGCACACACAAACACAGACGCGCACACACACACAGGAACACACACATGAGTACGCACGAGCATCCATGCACACAGAAACACAAATACACACACAAACATGCATGCACACGAACATGCATGCACACATGCGTACACACAAACACACGCGCACACACAAGCATCCATGCACACAGTAACACAAATACACACACGAGCATGCATGCACACATGCGTACACACAAACACACGCGCACACACAAGCATCCATGCACACAGTAACACAAATACACACACGAGCATGCATGCACACATGCGTACACACAAACACACGCGCACACACAAGCATCCATGCACACAGAAACACAAAAACACACATGCATAGTTTGCACACACACACGCATGCACATACAGGAACACACGAGTACGCACACACGAACATGCATGCATGTACATGCAAACACACACGCATGAAAACACACGAACACACACATGCAAACACACACACGGGGGTGGATCACTCATCCAGGCTTTTATTTTGAAACACCTGAACGGACATCAGAACCAGGTTAAAATGAACCAATAAATGCTTCTTTGCTTCATCTTGTTTCTGATCGATAACAAAACAACAACAAGAGCGTTTACTCATGCACAGAACCACCGTCAGACGGTAACTCGGGTCTGTGGGACCGGGCTGGGTAAAACTTTATTCATTTTCATTTGATTTGTTTTTATCTCGGAAAATAAACGTTCTCCAGAAATTGGGTTCTCAACAGTTCCAAAAGAACCTCTCACCACAGCAGAACCAGGACCCGTCAGGTCTCAGAGGTCAGTCTGGGTCAGCCTGACAGAAAGTGAAATGAGAAGAACCTGTGTGGTTCTGAATCAAACCAAGTTCTTTAGAACTTCCAGCTGAAAGAAGTTCTGACAAATCCAATCCACACACGCTTCAAGCACTTTTAAGGACAGTTTAAGGTTTTCCAGCACCTGACTGAGGAGACGACTGACTCGCGCTGAGCAGGTTAAGAACCCAGCTGACCCGTTTGGACCAGCAGCTCAGCGGTTTACCAACCAGCTAACTCACCGGGCCGACTCCTAAACAACTGGAGATGTGGTGCCGATCCACTGAGTCACTCATGCTGATAAAAGACTGGACCAGGAGCTAATCAGAATCTTAGCCAAGTTTCAGAACCAAGATGTCAGAGGGTGAGAAGGTTCTGTTGTCCTTAAGCCTCCGGCTAGAAGAGGAGGTCCGATTGGATCAGGAGGACTAATCTGTGAAGTCCCCGGCTGAGAGCAGGAGCAGCCAGCTCTTAGTTCACGTCATTCCTTTCTCTCATCCCCTACTCCTCTTTCTGATCTCTCCATCTCACCTCATCCCTGAGAGGAACCAAACAGCAAAGTGGATCAGAACCAGTTCTGGTCTTACCTGACAGTCAAAATCCTGCAGGTTACTTCCGTTCTGAAGGAACAACAGAGAATCGGTTATGAATGCTTTGATAATTGACGTTATTAAGCTCCGCCCCCGCCCTCACCTGTCCTGTCAGCAGTGGTTTGATCTCAGTCAGCTGGACATCATGAAGCTCCTCCATCTTAAAGATGTTTCACCACCAGTCAGCTGAAAGTGAGACAGACCATCAGACCAGAGCTACGCAGGACGCATCACAGCTGCTGGCGTCTCCAGGGTGGAGGAGGAGGAGGAGGAGGAGGACAGGTGAAGCCGGCAGATACTGATGGAGCCGACATTAGCCGTAGCTTCAGCTGCTAGCTATGCTTGTTTACGACTCGTGGTCACATCCGCACCTCCTCGCCGCGTAAAGCCAAATGAAAGGCCCGCTCTGCTGACCCAGACATCAGCCCAGAGATGCTTTCCAGGAGGCCCTCCCCGTCACCCCCACCTTTCAGGCTGGAGATCAGCCGATGGAGTTATTAACCCACCTAACGCTAATCAGCATTTTCATCGATGCCAGACGTACTAGCGAGCTTTTAAGCTGAAAAATATTAAACTAAAGACTCTTTTCTTTACTTCCTGTGTTTAGTTTAGTCGATCGTGAACGGAGACGAGTTTTAAGATGGACAGGTGGACAACCACATCTGTTGGTGCTCCAGAGCTAGCGCTGTGACCACACCTGTGCTACTGACGGCTACATCAGCACAGCCTGTCGGCTCGAGTGTTGCAGGTCGGAGGAGGAACCAGACACGTTGATCCGAAACTCTGCAAACTTCTCAGCAGGTCGAACTCACGGGTCCAAACCTGCTGAATCCGACTGGAACTAAAACACACTTTCACTGATGTTTACTATCAGTTGGTCTCAGTCTGAGAATCTTCTCACACCGTTTCCAACTGAGCGTGTGTGTGTGTGTGTGGGCAGGTTGGGTAACAGATTGGTTTGGATGGAGGAGCAGTATCTTGGCTCTGATCCGACTTGCTGGTGGAGCCAACAGAACCTGTTCAGGCTGAGTGTTCAATAGAAATAATGAGGTGCTAGTACGATTCTCTAATAATAACATCAGAAGTTCCTTTGGGCAACAACCAGAAAAAAGTTGAAATTAAAGGAAATTATTTTTTATTCTTTCATTGGTGGTTTATTCCTGACCTTGTGTCTGCTTTGATTTATGAGTATGAGATCTATTAGCACGTAATAATTCTTATTGAGAACTATTAATGACATTGATCAGAATCTGATCAGAGGCATCACGCCAACTGTCTGATGGAACAAATCCACACAAAGATGGATACGACCGGCCCAGACCAGATGTTAGGCTGCTCACGTCCAGCTTCACCTTGCCCTGGATTGTTCCAGAAGTCCAGTGATTTACAGATCATGATGTAAACGTTTGTCCTGCTATGACCTTTGACCTGCTCACCGTGACCCTCCGAGGAAGGCTGGCAGCTGTGGATGTTTTCCAAATAGTTTGCAAACGACCTTTGACCTTCCTCCTATTGATGTGAACAGCTGTTCACCGCTGTCGCTGCACCTCCATGTGCGTGTTTACACACAGCTGTGTGCTCCAGACGGATCCGCGCGCTAATCATGACGTCACTCACGGTTAATAAACAGTTAATTACTCTGTTGTTTATGGAAGCTGTAATCAGCTTCACACACACACACACACACACGTTTGGAACAACAGCGGCGGGCCCGGATGTGTTCTGGCTCAGCTGTCCGCCCACATTCAGAACCAGAACCTCGGACACACCCACTGACAGCCTTAGCAACTAACCGTTACCATGGGAGACCTCATTTCTCTCTCTCTCTCTCGCGCGCGCGCACACACACACACACCTGTAACCAGCGCCGCCATGTAGGCGAGCTTCATGAGAACAAAGGCGAACCGAAACCGAACCTACGAGTTCCCGCTCCACACAAAAACGAGCAAACATTAGCACCGACTTACCGTTAGCAGGATAATTAGCTGACTAGACGTTACCAGGTCGGTAAACGTCGGTTAACGTCTAGATTAAACCCCCCGTTAGCAGCTCACCGGCGTCAGCAGCGACGTAAACCCGTCCAACCCAACAGGTAACCGGTGTCTGCGTCTCCGCACGGATCCGTTGCGGCTTGCGACGTTCCTCTCCGCGGTCTGAAGAGTCAGTGCAGCACGCGGACGGGGAGAGGCGGGGCTTCGTTAACCTAAACACAGAGGCGGGGCCACCGGGTTGCCAGGGTAACCATCTGCCGCTGTCCTCAGGGAGCCGTTAATCTAATCCGCTCCTGTACCGATCAGTCACCAACCGGATTAACACACCGGAAACAGTTTAAACAGATCAAAGTAGATGTCAACAGATGTAACTTCAATCAAGAAAACATACGGGAAGGGGCACGCGCACGCGCACACACACACTCACACACACAGGAAGTGGCTTCACTCACTTTTCAACGACAGAAGCAGGCCGGACATGAGATGATCATCCTGACGGTTTTGTGGTATTTCGACACAAACTATTCAGAATGTTGTAATTTTTTAATACTGAATAAAAACTTCAGACACGAATTTAGAACTGAAAAGGAACCAGAACTGGAATTTCGTTTGAGACTGTGATGTGGTCACACATCCGAGATGTTGACTTTATTTGTAGGATTTCATTTTTATGACATTGGTAAAAATAATTGTTGTGGTTTGTGTCTTTGCTGCTTTACTGTGCGATGGAGCGACGGCCCCTGCAGCCACACGCAGGGCAGTGTTTATTTGGGTCAGCGCTCAGTGGGCCGGAACATTTCAGAACCAGTAGGAAACGTCCCAGTAAGCACACAGCAGGACCATCTGGACCCAAACTAAACGGTGTGACTGAACATGGCGCAGACACGCAGAGGAAGCGTTAGAACAGATTGTATGAGTTTAAATCACGAGTCTGGGTTCTGATCCTACGGTCGCCGGTTCTGATGAACTCCAGAAAAAAAAAACACTCTGGCTCAGATCTGATGGTTTTATTCAAAGTTAGAATTATCCAGAAAAACATCCTGCGGTTCAACGCGACGCGGAAATGAAACGGGATTCGTGTCGGTTCTGGTCAGCGGTTCGGACCGTGGTCCAGCGTGGAAATTAAACATTTTCAAACTTTCATTCCAGCTACCGTGAGGAAAAGTCAAACATTTCACTGCCTCCCGTTGTCATGGCAACAGTCCATCATAGCTCCAAAGGACGTCTCTATCAAAATAAATCTACAGCTTTTTACAGTTTCTCATACAAGCATAAAACATTCAGATGGACATATGTACACGTTACAGCTGCTCGTGTCGCAGGAACCAGAACTGGACTCGGAACCAGATGCTAACATCCAACAGCTCTCCTGTGTGGACGTTAAACGGGAGTGAGTTAGTTCTGTCTGGAAAATAATAATAATAAAGAGTCTGACCGGCTTTAAAACGTGTTTTTAAAGAAGTGAATTATAAAAGATCAAACCTGAACCAAACTGGAAGCTTTTAGGTGCTGCGTGTTCAAACAGCCGTGCATCAGAAATGTGAAAATCAGACATCTGAGCGGGATTCAGGCCAAACTGGAACATTCGACACTCGTGTTTCAGTTAGAGTCACTAAGAGTCTCAGGCGCTTTCTTTCCGACTCAGAACATTCAGCCAAAACTAATAAATTCAAGTGTATCATCAGACCCTTCCCTGTTTCCACCTGCTGGCGACCCGGCGCATCGCAGGTCTACGACGCTTCTGACCTGGCTTCGGTTTTCAGACCGAGTCCCGACTCGAGTCTTTTATTCACGCACGAGGCTCCTTCTTTGGTGGAAAAATAGTTTAAAGTCCGTGAAAATGCTGGTTGGACACGTGATCTTCATCTGACACACGCACACGCACACACACGCACACACACACGTTACTGAAGTAAACTTGTGATGTTTTTAGGATATTTGACCTTCGTTATTCCAAGGAAGAAGCCTGATGAGTGAATAAAAGCCCACCTAAGCAAACGGAGATGCTGTGTGAGATACCCCCCCCCACGTTTTCCACTAAAGGATTAAAACCAGAAGTTCTGGTGGGACAAGCCCGTCTGCACAGAGAAAAGCTCCGTGTTCGTCCTGCTGGTGGTTTCTACAAAGGCGAGGAAACATTTTCTGCTCTGAATAAACTCTTCCTGGTTGCTATAGAGGTTAGAAATTGGCCCAACGTTAGTGCAACCGCGAAGCCCGACCTGTAAAATCACCTCTTCAGACGTGGGTATCAAACTCCTTCATGTGCATTAGCCTGCTCCAGTCGATGGGGAAGAGAATGACAATGTTCAGTTCACCGAGCCGTGAATCATCCTGCAGCTCCAGTCGCTCTCAGACAGAAGGAGCCGATCGCACCGCGGACGGATGATCGGATTGGGCTAAAGGAGGCGGTGGCGCCGCTGTCCCGACTGAGACGCCTCCTACAGCAATGAGTTCTCAGTGTTTGATCTCATTTCAGGAGTCAGCGGCAGATCGCCAGGCGTCGCACGACACACAGGTCTCCCAGCAGGCCTTTGATTCGCTGTTTGAGCTGCGAGAGGCGGGACAAAGGGTCCGGAGGCTCTAGTTCACCGGAGTGGTCCAACCAAGACTCCAACACTGAAAAAGAAAAAATGTTCTGTTTGTTATCCTCGTCGCCGCAGAAGGAATGTGGCTTAAACAAAGTTTAAATTCTAAAAGCTAAAGCTGCCCCGACTCCCGCAGGGGTGGGGAACCCTGGTCCAACCCTGCTTCAGCACACCTGATTTCAATCAGCGGGTGATTGACAGGCTTCCGCAGAGCCTGATGAGCTGCTGCGTAGGTGAATCAACCACTGAATCAGAAGTGATGGAGCAGAGACACGCAGGACGCCGGCCCTCGAGGACCAGGGTCCCCCACGCCCGTCCTACGGTGGACGGTGGAGCCGCGTCTCCTCAGAAGTCACATTTACTGAGTTCTACGTAGAAAAAAATCTACCGGATCCTCGGAAAGTCTGATTCCAGACCAGCCGCTTTCCTTCGAATCCAAAATGGCTGCCTCAACAGCTGCAGCAATAAACTTTGTGTAAGGAATGCTATTAGCTGGTTAGCTTCCCGTTAGCAGATCCAGGGGGGTTTCTCTCTCTCTCCCGTCCTCTGACAGAATACAACTCATCCAGAACTAAACAGGAAAACATCTGGTGCTGCTCGGCTCGGTTACCGTCCAGCTCGCGCTCTATCAGGTCCATCCTGGCGCTGATCTGATGGTGGACGGACTCCACGTGCTCCAGCAGGTTGAGCTGACACTGGGCCAGAGACCCCGTGTGCTGCTCCTCCATGTTCTCTGGTTTTGTGTTCAGGTCGCAGCGAGCGTCTGACAGCGCCAGAACCTCAGTGTCGCAAGTGGCCTCGGACGCATCACGCCTTAGTTCCTACAAAATAAAACACAAAACAAATTCTTTAGGGCTTTTATAGTGAAATCTGACTCCCGAAGCTTCCTGTGAACTTCTTCTGGATCAGAACTTCGACTGAAGGAGTTCTTCTTTAAATTTGACCAAAAAGTTCACAAGCAAGGTGGAAGTTATGAAGGACTATTTTCAGACATTTAAAAGCATTTTTTAATCAGGAAGAACAGCTGGTGTGCTTTAGGATCGATAGGCTAACGATTAGTCTGGAACAATTGGTGTTAATGTGTCTCAGAAGTGGAGAAAACCCACTTCCTGTCTGTATTCAGTCTCTACCTTCTCCTCTGTGTCCACTTCCTGTTTGACCAACGGTGGCCTGTCCTCAGCCGTTTCCCATGATGCTTCAGGCTTCTGGTAGCAATGCTCGCTGCTGACGTAACAGACGCGAGCCTCTTCTCTGGGACTGGAGGTCAGCCTCAGCCCCTCATCCTGTCTCCATGGTAACCTCCACAGCTGGAGGTCGCAGTGGGACGGAGAGCTGCTGGGACAAAGACAGAACGAACCAGAGTGTCTCCAGATCCAGCAGCAGAAGACCTGATGGGTCCTACTCACTGCAACAGGCTGACTTTGAGCTGCAGCCCCCTGAGGACCTGATTGAGGCCGTGGGTCTGCCCCAGCAGGTGGCTGGTGTGGGAAATCTTGGAAGCATTGATTTCAGAGTAGTTCTCCTTCACACACGAAAGGCCGAACATGGGACCAACGATCAGCAGATCGGGATCGGAGAGGAACCGCTGAGCTCGCCTCCAACCTGAGCACCAAAGAAGACCAGGAGATTCAAACGGCTTCCTGGGGTCTCCAGAAGGCGGTCAGAGAGGGTTCTGCTCTGTACCCTAGCTGGATGCCACCATAACTAAAGTAAAACCTGGAACAGCTACAAGAAAGCTGCTGGTGTGTTGCCAGGAGCAGCTGTTACCCCGGTGTGATGATGATGATGCTCCTACCTGTGGTCTGCCTGCAGTAGTAGCAGATGTAGTTGTGTGGAACGTTGTCCTCGTATAACCCCATACAGGTGCCGTGCTGCCAGCACAGACACGACTCACACTGCAGAGGAAGCATCAGACTCTGGTTAGCAGCATTTTACACGACAAGAGACGTCCGCCATGAATGACCTGATCTCCGAAAATCACCTGAACACGCACACGGACCTCCAGTAGGAGTGTGTACAGTCCAGGCTAAAAGCTAGGACACAACCTCTCATTCAGCGTGGTTTCTCTATTTTCACGACCATTTACTGTGTGTGTGTGTGTGTGTGTGTGTGTGGGGATGTTTTGCTGGTCCACAAGCTAAGGGTCAAGGTTAGGGTCAAGGTTAGTGGAGTCTCTAAAATGACTGGAAATCAATGGAGGTCCTCACAAGGATATAAATTCAAGTGTGTGTGTGAGGGGGTTACCTGTATCATAAAGTCGTTCTCTTCATCCACCTCACACACACACCTCACCACCTCACACTCATCCGTCTCCATAGCAACGGGCCATGACGTTGTGTCCTCCCCGCTCTCGGCTGTCAGCGTCGACCAATCGCTGCCGTCGTCGACTTCAAGCAGACAAAATAAAAGTTTTGACTTTTTTACTAGAAAAGAATCAGTGTGTGTGTGTGTGTGTGTTCTGACTGTGTGTGTGTGTGTGTTCTGACTGTGTGCGTGTGTGTGTGTGTTCTGACTGTGTGCACATGTGTTCTAACCGTGTGTGTGTGTTCTGACCATGTGTGTGTGTGTTCTGACCGTGTGTGTGTGTTCTGACTGTGTGCACATGTGTTCTAACCGTGTGTGTGTGTTCTGACCATGTGTGTGTGTGTTCTAACCGTGTGTGTGTGTTCTGACTGTGTGTGTGTGTGTGTTCTGACTGTGTGCACATGTGTTCTAACCGTGTGTGTGTGTTCTAACCGTGTGTGTGTGTTCTGACCGTGCGTGTGTGTGTTCTGACCGTGCGTGTGTGTGTTCTGACCGTGTGTGTGTGTTCTGACCGTGCGTGTGTGTGTGTGTGTGTTCTGACCGTGTGTGTGTGTGTGTTCTGACCGTGTGTGTGTGTGTGTTCTGACCGTGTGTGTGTGTTCTGACCGTGTGTGTGTGACAGTTTCAGCGTAATCGGCGCTCTGTCTGACTTTTCTTCGTCGCTGCTGGCGCCTCCTGAGGGGACGGAAGCAGAACGCAGATAAAACCTGTCAGACGTGATTCTTATGGATTCTGTGACACGTCTATGATGTCATAAGGGACTCTCCTGTCAGGTGGGAACATTACAGCCTTAAACCTGAGCCAGTTACCCAACTGACCGTTCTTCTTCTTCTTCTTCTTCTTCTTCTTTTTCTTCTTTAGTTTTACTTGTAGGAAGTGCTTCCTCTCCTTCCTGTCCAGTCCTCCTGGTTTCTCCCTTCTTTCTTCCTTCTGCACCTCTGCTAACAGCAGTCAGACAGGTAAAACATGTCCTGTTTTACACCTGAAGAGACAGAGCATCGTTGTACGGGGCTGTTCCCACCCACCTGCTCCCACGATGCTCTGCTCCCCGTCGTCACGGCGACAGCTGGCGTTCTGGGCCTCAGGTTTCCTGCTGGATGTGAAGTCGCTCCCATCAGAGGAAGACCTCTTCCTCCTGCAGCAGCACCACCCACAGGTTTAGTGCCAAGCCTCCAGGATGTTCGGTTCTGCTGCCGGATGAGAACTCACCTCGCCGGCGCCGGCTCCACCCCCCCGTCCGGCTGCTGGTCCGAGTGGTAGTACTTGATGTGGTAGTGCAGCAGACTGGCCTTCCTGAAGGACTTGGAGCAGTCGGGAGCCGGACACTTGAATGGATTGTGGTCCAGTTCAATAGAGAGGATGGGAGGAGGCTGGTTCTTTATGACCCGGTACACTGAGACAGAACACAGAGGTTAACGTGGTTCTGATCCAGAGCAGCAGAGACCTTCATGAGCTCCACACCTGGGGGACAGAACCCGTCTGACAGGAAGTGGGCTAAAAAACCTCATATAGCAACAGGTCCCTAACAAGACCTGAAAGCCCTCTCAGCGCCGTGGGCCCAAGCCCTCTGAGACCAGAGGCAGAAGAACACAGAGAAGCAAAAGATCAGTTTCCTGTGACCGGGCGGCGTGTGGCGGTACGTACGCGGCTCTCGGCTGAACTTGTGCGTGGTGGGAAGATGGGCCTGACGCTCCAACAGAACATCTGAGGATGAGAAGAGGAATCAGCCTGGCTACATCGTGGGAACGGCTTTTCTTTTCCCAGTAACCCAAAACAACAAATAACAACAACAATAAACACCTGAAGAGTAAACGAAAACAGATCAGGACTGTTTGACCCTCCCACGTTCCTGCAGAGGACCGGTGGCGTGTTTATAAATGATGTAATAAAGTATCGGATCATCTGTGAAGAGGTCGTCCCCGGCAGCAGCACGGAGACCCGTTTAAACCGGTTACCTAGGTTACCAGAAACTCCCCGACTAACTCTGGGACAGGAAGCCCCGGTCCTGCAGAGCTGCGGTCCTGCTCGTTTTCCAACTATTTGTTCCTGCTGTTGGTTACCTGGATCAGGTGTGTTCGGCCAATCAGAAGCTGCAGGCTCGGCGTGACTGAAGCCCCGTCACCCACCCACTCCACGGGACGTAAACAACACGATGAAAATCAAGACATAAATCAACAAATTCAATAAAACGATTGGTTCACCTTTGTCGATGTGGGCGGGGTTAGGAACAGCTGGCAGGGCGGAGTCAGCTGTGATTGGTTGTTTCTCAGCTCCAAGCAATCTGCCTGTAAGAGAATTTCTGCTTCAAACACATGAAAATGAATCGTTTACAAACCGCAGGGTCAAAGGTCATGGGATTTACTGCTGTCAGCTTTCTTCTTTGCTGGTGGATGGGAGGATGAAGGCTCTGCCTTCCTCTTCCTCTCCTCCTCCCTTTCCTCAGCTTCTTCCTTCTCAGACGTCACCTCCTCCTCCTCTTCTCTCTTCTTCTCCCCCTCCTCCTCCTCTTCTCCTCCCTCACTGACCACCTCCTCTTCCTCGCTCTCTCCTTCCTCCCATCCCTCACTTCCCACATTCTTCTCAGATTTCGATTTCTGAAACACAAAACTCATTTAAACACAGTGGGACTGTGATGAGAGGAAGACCAATCAGAGGACAGCACTCCTTACTTCCTGGAAGGGTTTGACCTTGGTGGGCTTGACGGTCCGGACCACGCCGTCGTAGAACCGAACGGTGTAGGAGTCTGAGGCGGACACCAAAGATCAGCTCAGTCTCCGCTTTTAAAGACTTCCTGTCAGCGTGTAATGCCCCTATCTACTGATGATTATTATTATTAATATTATTATTATTATTATTATTATTAAGTTAAGCACTTCAACAAAAGCAGAAGAGGAAACTCAAACCAGTTCAAAAGGTATAAATTAGGTTTAATTTTCTGTCCTGCAACATAATTCTGACGGTTTTTATCTGGTTTGTTTGTCGGTTCTGATGTTCGACGGGAAGGAACCCAACGGACTCACCATCCTTGTTGACTCGGAGGATCTTAGCCGGGTAGAAGCGACAGTCGGTCCAACAGGCCAGAACCTTCATGCCTGAAACAAACGTCTGGGACAGGAAGGTAGGACACCTGAGCTCAGGGGTGTGGACATAAGAAGAGGGGGGACGGCAGACACGGAGGAGGACAAAGGAAGTACCGTCTGAGATGGCGACGGGTTCCGGCACTGCCTCCTCAGGCTGACTCGCTCCAGAGGACGGAGGTACGGCGAGGTCCAATGAAACCACTCGTCATGTCGGCGGCTCCACTGACGGTAGTGGACCAGGACTCGCTCTTTGTCATAGTCGATCTTCTCAATGGTGGCTGCGTACCTGAGAGGAAAACAAATATTCCGTCTCCAGGAGATTCAGACCAACATAATCAACAACAGATTTTATGTCTCTGCCTATCTGAGAGGAGGTTTTGTTCAAAGTTCTCCTGAGTCCATGTGGAGAGATGACTCCGTCACGTGGTGGTTTCTGATGCAGCGCTGCCTGAGGGGGTCAAAGGTCATCCACCAGTGCTTTCTGACCTTTACACCGCTGTGTAATTTTTTTTTCCATGTTGCGTTGTTTCAGCATTTCGCTGCTTTTTACTTTTATTACAACGTGTGAAAAATAAAGAATCGTTCTATTTAAATGTACCAATGTTTGACGACTACAGTGATTTGTGTGAGAGGTGCAGACCAGCTCTTGTGACGATCCCGAGCTTCCAGCTGAGCTCCAACCTCGAAGGTGATTCCCGACCTGTCAGGGGGAGTCTTCATCTGCCTACAAAAAAATATCTGCCGTTAAATTACTTTGACCAATAATTGGAATACCATTATTCACTAAAACAATATTTTGTGAACTTGTTACTAAAGCCAGTGTTGTTGCCTCACTGGAATGACATTAGGACGTATTTAAAATACGTAAAAATGACAATGGTTTGTATAAATTGACGTCGCTGCTATAGTAACCTGTATTTGTAGTTCTTACAGTTCTCCAGCAGGCGGCGTCTAGAACCCAACGCCATCATTTCTGGCTCCACAGCCAAAGATAGTTTTCGTTTTGTTTGCACATTTATTCGTTTGTTCACAGACGTTTCACTAAACGTCTGTGGCATAAAAAACATTCAGCTTGGATGTTCGAACAGGTTACTCAGTAAAAAACGCTGATTGGCTCATGCATCTGTCAGTCACAAATCAAGTCCCGCCCCTCCGGTATTTGACAGCAGCTAAGATGCTAACGCTAGCTGCGTTGGTAGGACAGGGTTTGCTTTAAACAGCAGAAAACACCGACACAGTTTAACAGGAAGTCTAATTCACAGTCACACGACTTCACTTCCCGCTTAAGCTAAATGTTTGTGGCTTGTCGTCAAGCTTGTGCAGTTGACAGAGTTGAATCTCCACTGAGTGTGAATCCATGAGCTAACTGTGCTAACTGAACGAGCTCAGTCTAAAAGTCACAATGAAGGCTGCGAGTGCGGACGCACGTCAGCCTAGAAAGTGGGCTCTCCTGGGAGAAGAAAGCTTCGTAAAAGTATCTCATCTACGTAAAGGCTGTTTTCAGACAGGTAAAGTAGAAATATTGACGCTTGTTTACCTCTGGAGCTTCTAAGCTGCTTCATACACACTGAAGACTGTACAGCGCATGCGCAAGGGCAGCGACAACAGCTGTTCAAAAATGAAAACATCTACTTAAACAGCTGTTTCCGCTCTCAAACCACAGAAACACAACTGAAAAACAAAGTCTACATTAGTGGCGAATCTTGTAACGCTTTATTTTTATATATGATATATAAAGTTTACATTTTCCTTCCCAACATTTCTTTTGAAATATATATTTTTATTTTGACAGTAATTTTTAAAAATCCTCATTAGTTCGGTTCCTGCACATTTTAAAATCTAATTTATTTAATGTTCTGAACGTTTTGTCAGAACAATGGCTCGTGATTTTGACTGGATGTAAAAAATAAAACACACAGAAACAAAGAAATGTACTTATAAACTAAAATAAAATAAGTTGTTTGAACTTATGACTCAAAAAGAAAATGTCAACAACCTTATTCTAAAAACACAACCTGTGTTATCTTTATTAACTTTTATAAAGTTGTGACAAATGGGGGAAAGTGGCGCTCTTAACCAGCTGGACTAACTCCATCCCTGATCTGGACCAGGACCTACCTCCTCGCTCACCTGATTTCTGAGTGTTGGCTCAGTGGCAGCTGTGTAATTACCCAAAAGCAGGACTAAATAATCAGCATCCAGTCTTTCAGACAAAACACACAGTAGAAAGTTTCTATGATGTAATTCTCCACTCTGGACCAAACTTCCTGTTAGTGGAGTGTAACCAAACCAGAGGACATGAATAAACACCTCCATCTTGAACCAGATCCAGTCCGAACCAGAAATCGTTGATGGGACAAAACAAAAATCAAAGAAGACCAAAGAACCGTTGCAGGGTTTATTCAAATTTTATTTATGTTTTCTGCTCTGATAAACACTGAAAATGAGACAAAGAGTAAAAGCTTTAAATGTTCTGGTGAAAATAAACAGGTTTAGCGTTTGGATCTCCAGATCTCTCACAGCCAGACCGTTTAACTTTAGAAACAGTAAAAAGTTTTAAACGAGCAAATAAAATAAACCACAATATAACAGGTAAATGTGGATGACAGGCGATCAGCTGTTCGGGGAGGGGCGGTGTCCGCTCCCAAGTCGTTTCTTGTTGCTGTGAAAAGACAAAACAACAGTAAACACAGTCCTCCACGTGGGGAGGGGGGGCTACACTGATTTTAGTGACATTTAGTTCATTTTTGTTTAATCAGAAATAATAAAAATGCTGAGAAGAATTCATTTAAAGGCTCATTTCAACGTTAATCTTATCTAAATGAATCTAAATAATGTTTCTTGAAGAAAAGGTTCATTTCTGCATGAATTTAACACGATAAATCTGTAAAACACGGCTGGCACGCCCTAAGCCAAGTGCAGATAAATGTCCTCTTCATCAGAGGAATGGAGATCTACTGCAGCAACGTTGGGATGAATCATGAAGGATCAGAGTATCTGGGCTCCATTGGTGATGGCTTTCCAATCAGACTGACAGAACTGATCAGAATCAGTGGTTCTGGAGGTTTCCTCCCTCAGACGCCACAGACAGAACACGCCTTTCTGGAGCAGCACTTGGATTATTGAAATGAACCAATACCCATCATGCATTGCAAGCTTAACACTGATGGAAACACCTTCTGCGATGTTAAACCCAACGACGCCACGAGCGTGTTTTTACCTGATGAGGTGTCAACTGGAGGAGTCATCCTGAACGTCCTGCAGCTCCGGGTCTTCCTGCTCCAGGACGTCTGGGCTTATTCCGTCCGACCGAGTGGATCCTGACTCCTCTGAGCTAAGCTCCTCCTCCTCCTCCTCCTGCCTCTGCTCTATGAAGTTGGTGATCTTTGACACCTTCTGACACATCAGACACGTTTAACTCGGGGGAAACCAGCAAAGACTAGAGATTCACTTCCTGTCAAATGGAGTCAGCTGCTGACCGGACACTTTTACCTCTGACAGCACATCCTTCACAGTCTGAAAGAGCTGTTCGAGTTCATCTAGAAGGTCCGTCAGCATCCTGAGCTGGGTCATGCTCGTCAGAGGCCTCACCGACTCGTCTACCTGAACACAGCCAGCAGGAACACAAACGACCCGAGGTTGGTTCTGAAACGGCTCAGAGAGGAAGCATCAGCTGCGTGTCGTCGTGTGTTTTCACCTGGAAGATGGACACCTGATCTGGTCTGAACCTCTCATGTGCTTTTAGCATTCTGAAGCTCATCTTTGAGGGGATTAAGTGGT